TACCTAATATAAAATTGATTGTTTATTTTGCATAATATCATTAGTTACTTTAAACGGCTAAAAAATGTATCATGTAGTCTTATTTTATTTTCAAACATTTTTAGTGCTAATAAACCTTAAGAATCATTTAAATAATTTATTCAAACAATTAAGTCATTTTTTATATTTACTTATCTAATTACCATTATTATTTCTTTGCACCTAACTTAATTTTAAAAATAATTTCATTTATATTTCGTTGACAGTATAAAATAAGTAAAAAATATACATTAACTATATCAAGGGTTTCTTATAGTAAATAATAGGTTAAATACCACTATTGGCAATTTAGTAATATTAAATTTTCTAAAAATTTAATACATTTTTGTATCTTTTAAGTTCTTTAATATAATTTATCGCATTATTAATTTTTTCAGTATGGAAAATACTTATTTATTGTCTGCTTTCAAGACAATATCCTTTATATATGATGTCATAACATATCCTGTATATTTAATATTACAACAGCCATGGAATAAGAAACATAAATCCAAGCAAATAAAAGTATGTTTATCTTTTAAAATAAATTAAACTAGTTTATCATTTAATTTAATTATAGTAATATGAAGTCTATTTATTTACTAATATTTAATCTTATACATAACTACAAGTATAGTATTCTTTATTAATTAAAAATTATTTTTATTCATTTTCAGTCTAATATTACCAAACTTGATGATCATACAATTATTATTAAAACTTTAAGTGAACCTACATCCAATCATCTTACTCTGGTTAAAGATAAGATAGATACATTACAAAAAGTATTTCAGTATGCTGTACATAAATATACTGATGCATATTGCCTTGGAACTAGAGTTGTACTCGCTGAAGAAGATGAAGTGCAAAAAAATGGGAGAATTTTCAAAAAAGTAGGGTTCACTTTTATTATGATTATGTAATTTTTAATTTGGTTTATAATCAAAATACCTAATATGATTGATTATCAAAAAATCTGATTAAAAACTGTTTTTACAATTATTTTAAAGGTAATAAATAATACAAAATACAAAAACAAATTTAAAATAAATAAAAATGTGTAAAATACAATTTTAAAATTCTAAGTATAAGTATCCAAACTTTCTAATAGAATATATTAATAACCAAGTTGTTTTTTGTTAAATTTTGATTTAAAATTGCTTATTTGGTTTAATTTTTCTTGTAATTTTGTATAATGTACACTCTTATGTTACATATCAAACTAGCTTTAATCACAATATTGCTCAATAAATATTTTCTCGATTTAAAATCATATTAGATATTTTTGATTATAACATGGACTTAAAGCAATGATCAGCTGTTTATAAAGCTAAATTTTTTCTAAACATTTTTGTTATAAGGAATGTTTGCTATAATAATTACCACAGCATCAAATTCAAAATCAAATGGTTAAATAGCATTTTTTTTTTTCATCACATAAATAATATAAAAACATTTTGCTAAAATAGAATTATATTTTTGATATATTTCAAATTTAGGATTTAATTTAATAAGTACCTTTAATTTTTTTTTTTAGTACGTCATGGGAGATTATAGATGGATGACATTTACAGAAGTAGATGAAGCATCTGATCATTTTGGAAATGCTTTAGTTTCTTTAGGTCAAAAACCTAAAGAAAATATAGCAATATTTGCTGAAACAAGGGCAGAGTGGATGATATCTGTTCAGGGTTGTTTCAAACAAAACGTACCGGGTGAGTTAAGTATTTTAGTTAACAAAATTCTCATTAATACTAATTTTAAGTAGGTGAGCTTAAATATTATATTGTAAGACTAGTTATTTTCAATTATTTTAAGTATAATAAATATTACTAGTTATTACCATACTTGTTACACAAATCATTTTTATGGTAACCTGGTATATTATCTAAAAGTCTAGATTCCATGTATATAACATATGTTGTAAAATTTTAGCACCTAATTAATGATTGATATAATTATTTTAGTTGTAACATTATATGCCACTCTCGGAGAAGAAGCAATAGCCCATGGTATTAACGAAACTGAAGTAACTATTGTTGTTACATCACATGATCTGTTACCTAAATTTAAAAAAATTTTACAACTTACTCCTCGAGTCAAAACTTTAATTTACATGGAAGATCAGTTGGCTATGACAAACACCAGTGGCTACAAAGAAGGAGTTGAAATATTATCATTTAAATCTATTTTGAAAAGGGGATCAGAATACACAGTTACAGGTTAATATTTTAACTTAAATATATTTTTAATTTAAATGTTTTTATTATTTTTTTAATTTGTATTTTAGAAAACCATTTACCAATAAAAAGTGATATTGCAATCATTATGTATACTAGTGGATCAACTGGAACTCCTAAAGGTGTTAATTTATCACACACTAATCTTATATCAACGCTCAAAGCTTTTACTGATGCTATTGAAATTGATTACAAGACGGACGTTTTCATGGGGTATTTACCACTGGCACATGTTTTTGAATTGCTTGGAGGTAATTAAAACTAAAAAATGAATAAGTGTTTTTTTTTAATTTACTTATGTGTACTCTGATGTCAGATTTTATAAACAATCACGTAATATTTTTAATAAATCAATTGTATGCTAATACTGTGTCTCTTAAATATGATTTAGTGACTAATAATTTGTCTGTTAAATTTATTAAGCCATTAAATGCATACATTTATCGATCAATTTAACATAAAAATTCTTTGTAAAATAAAATATTAGCTATTGATTAAAAATTATTAAAAACTGGTTATATTTTTTTTAACTTATTAAATATATCAAATTTAAATTATAATTTTAATGAATTCTTTATTTTTTTTTTTTTTTGTTTGTTTAACAGAACTTGCTTGTTTATTATGTGGAATTAGAATTGGATACTCTACACCATTAACCATGATTGATACGTCTAGTAAAATCAAACGTGGTACAAAAGGTGATGCAGCTGTATTAAGACCAACTGTCATGACTGCTGTTCCTGTATGTATTTTATTTTTCAAAACCAGTTTTGTAATTTTAAAATAATAATTTTTATGTTAATTTGTTTATACAGCTAATATTAGATCGTATTTACAAAGGTATTAATGAAAAAGTTTCCAGTGGAACGACATTACAAAAAACATTATTCAAATTTGCATTTGATTACAAGAGAAAATGGATGGAACGTGGATTTCAAACTCCACTTTTAAATATGTAAAAATATACTGTTACCAACATTAAAATTTATATTTAATATCACCACATTGTATTTTAACTTATCACTGTTATATAAGGTTTGTATTTAAAAAAACAAGTGCATTATTGGGAGGCCGTATACGTTTCATTCTATGTGGAGGAGCTCCTCTTTCACCAGAGACTCATACTCTTATCAAAATTTGTCTATGTGAAAACGTTCAACAAGGTTATGGACTAACTGAAACCAGTTCATGTGGATCTGCAATGAGCCGTTAGTACAATAATTAATGTAAAATGAAACAATTTTAAGATATTTAAATTCAAAAATAAATATAATAGGAGATGATATGACAACGGGTCGAGTTGGAGCTCCACTAACAGTTAATGATTTCATGTTAGTCAGTTGGGAAGAAGGTAGTTATAGGATAACAGATAAGCCATTTCCAAGAGGCGAACTTATCATAGGTCAGTTATTAGATTTGTAATATTACTTATAATTGAAAATGTTTAACAGTCTAGATTTTTCTAGGCGGAGACAACATATCACCTGGATATTATAAAAATCCTGAGAAAACGAAAGAAGAATTTTTTGAAAAAGATGGCATGTGGTGGTTTAAAACAGGTGACATTGGTCAGCTGGAAGCCGATGGTGCTATTAAAATAATTGGCAAGTTAATTGTTAAACTGTTACTCCAAGTTAGTGTTTCTCGACTACTGTGTCGCTGAATAAATTCAAATGTGTCGCAAAGTTATTAAATGACACAAAGTATATAAACATGAATGACACAATTTTTTTATGACGATTAAAAATAAGTTTTCTATTATCGATAGATTTTACACCAGGAGTTCACAAAAAAACGCATTTTTACTTATTGAATTTTACATTTTTACTCGTATTAAAAAATGATTTAAAAATCTTTTAGGTCGAGAGCAGTTTTCTTTTTGTTTATTAGGATTAGATTTGTTATTACTTAGTTTTATCTAACGGTTTATCGTTTACGATAGTAAATTTAAATATAAACACATATTGGTACATATAGGTTAATACAGCCGGATTACCGAGATTCTATTGTATTTTAATTATGTGTCACCATAACACAAAGTTTGAGAAACACTGCTTTTAGTAAACATGAAAGAAATTTTATATTATGTTTGTGTGTTACAGATCGTAAAAAAGATTTGGTAAAATTGCAAGGTGGTGAGTATGTGTCTCTTGGTAAGGTTGAATCACAGCTCAAAACCTGTCCAGTTGTCGATAATATATGTGTTTATGGAAACCCATTTCATATGTATACAATCGCATTGGTTGTTCCCAACAGACATCATTTGATAGATATGGCTAAAAAATTGGATATTGAAAATGTAAATGAAATTAGAATTGAAGAGTTGTTTGTGAATAAGAAATTGAAGAAAGCAGTTGTCGAAGAGTTAGCCGCCCATGGTAGAAAAAGTATGCCATTATTTATTTCATCTGCTTAAATACTAGTGATTTTATTGTATGAATGTAATTGATTTCAGATAAACTTGAAAGGTTTGAAATACCTACAGATATTATAATATGTAACGATATATGGACACCGGACAATAATCTAGTGACAGCTGCTTTCAAAATCAAAAGAAAAGAAATATATGATAAATATAAAACTCAAATTGATAATTTGTATCAATGTTGATAATATTTATTTAACAAAAAAAAAAAAAAGAAGAAAAAGAAGACCAAAATTATTAAATTTTATATTATCTTTAGAGTACGTTTATTTTACCAAAAAAAGCAATTAATTAATTTTATATTAATAGTATTTTAGAATGTATACATTAATAAATATATTGTTATTAATTCTCGCTAAATAATTTTAGTTTGATACTTCATCCTTGTACAATGTTAACATAACATTTTTGTGTAATATTGTCATTCAGAACTTAATTGTTGTCATTTATGGCCACAGATTTGTTTGTACTGATAATGCCATTGCATTGTTGTTTTGTTTGCTCTATTTGTTCAAATTGTTTGTGGTTACGTAAAATACAATTTTTTTCTACGTTCTAAAAAACAAAATTATTGGTAATAATTTTTGTTTTTAAATATTTTTCATACTATGTATTTAAAATTAGTTGTTATTAATTTACGACTCTAATATTGTTAAGCAATTAATAACAAAAGTGTATATTAAGTATTAAAATATATTATTTGTACTTTTAATCGTTGAATTGTATTAGTATAAAAAGAAATACGATATAAATTAAACTTCAAAATCAATGTTTATCTATAAATTCAACGGAATGCAGGTAGGGTTCTATATTAAAGAGGCGATTGTAAATTCCATTGATTCACAAGTAGTCGATTTTCGGGTTGAATTTAAAACATGCAAATTTATGCGCCCATATTAAAGAGCTATTAACAACAATAATCTTTATATTACCTATATTCTAAAACAGGGGTTCACCAAAAGGTGGTTCACGAACAAATTTTATACGGCCCGCAGACAACGAATTATAGGCATTACAACAATATTATGCGTTTTATTGTTGAGTATTAAATTGAATGAAAAAAAATAATGTTCTCATTACATCTAATTTTAAAATAATACCTGTATACTTGAAATTTTTATGGGCCGTAAAAAATTTTCAGATTCCTAATGTGGCCCCCTTAAAAAATATTAATTGGTGACTTCTGTTTTAAAATAAATAAATGAATCGTATCATAAATCTTGGCTAGGTATAAGCGGAGGACAGTCGCTGCCGTCGATTCTTACTGGTGTTTTTTATCGGTGCGCAGTACCGTTCCACAAGGCTCAGCGGGCCATCTGGCACGAGTTCGCAAATGTAGGGAAACTTCTTCGCACAATCCTCTGTTTCCCAGTACCTGTTTCCCGTGAGAACCACGCACTCTTTCTTCGGTCTACCAGCTTTTGGATGACCTGGCGCCCATGCCCTAAACGGCATACAACTCAACGGTTCGCCTTGATGCGATTTAAATACGTTATTATTAATATTGTTTTTTGTTAAAACTATTCAAAAATATACGACAATGGTGCACAATGTTAAAAAAAATCAATAAAATTAAATTGGAAACTTCCCCTACAAAAATGTAATGATACATATTATATACTTTATACGATTCGGTGCATAATAAAAATCGAGTATTTTTTTATCATTAACCAGATACCTGTGATAGTTACGAATTCGTTTTCGAAAAATAATCCGACAAACGCTTTGCGGTTGTTGAGGGTTTTGTTTTTCAAATCCGACGACACCAACGCGGCCAAAAATGAAGTCCGAGAATCGGACACGACATTTGCGAGATGACCGCCGGCATCTTCACAAGCAATCATAGCGTTAGAATAGTTCAGATGATTCGTCACCAACTCGAATACACCAAGGCCCGGTGCACAAGTATAGTTTTCACTAGCTGTGTTTTAAATTATAATTTAATAAGAATAAAACTGTTTGAATTTAAATATCAGAGTCCAAAAAAAAAAAAAACCATAATCATATTCAGACATATTGAGCAGAGAGTAAAACCTTGTTATATAATATCATAACAATTTACAGTAGAATCTCGGCAATCCGACACATATCAGACCACGCTACTGCCGGATTAACGGAAACGCCGGATTAGTGGGGAGTTATACCATTACAAGCTAACGAGTTATGCAAATGATATAATTTTTACTAGTACACGTGTAAATAGACTGAAATATATTAATTTTTTTAAAGCAATTTTTTCTTACAAAGACCCAGAACTTGTACCTAAACCTCAAGAGGTTTAGTCGCGGCACTGGACAAACCGTCGATAGTGTAAACTTATTTACTTAGTAGAAACAATTTTTTTATGATCAACATTTTTTATTTTAGGTCAAATATGTTTTTTTATAAATAAATGCCTATAACTTTTAAATTAACGATAGAAAAAATATACACGTCAACAATCATGGCCCTGTAGCGCAAAAATCTCTATATGCCGAATACATATACGTATTATTGATATTGTTTGTCTAGTTGTAGGTACTCACGCAATGGTTTTGAGTACATGCTATAATAGTCGTACACTGATTCATTGGCAGTGAGTAGAAACGGGTGAAATTCCGGGCAATCAAAAACATTGCAAGTGGAACTCAATGTGGATACCGTTCCTGTGTATTAATAAATAAGGTAAAAAAAAGAATTACACATAATAGGTATTATTGTTATATACGTCATATAGTGCCCGGAACTCGATGCATTTGTATCTTTTTTTCTAATGCGTTTATACGAGGCTTTTCTTTACAGAAATGTGGCTTATATTATGTACAATTCAATAGAAGCATTTTTTTTTTTTTGCATTTTTTATATTTTTCTTTTAAATTGTTAAAACAAAACTAAATATTTGAAAAAACTAATGTACCTATTATACTGTAATGATGTAAATATATAACAGTAAAGTTATGAAATCAGACAAGTTTTGAACACGTGTGTAGTTTTTCACTAATGATCGGATATAGTACGTCTTGTACGATATCTTACTGATTTTTTAGCAATACCTTAAAATATAATGCACTACTATTTTTTTTTTTTTCTAATGGAAACAAAAAATTTTTTGCAAGATGTGTGAAGTGCAAGTATGCGTCGATAAACGATATATTGTGACGGAACATTTTAAAACCGATAAACATCCTAGATAGTTTATTATTGATTTGTATTTATTGCATTATTATTTCTAATACCACTAAAAAATGATAATTGTCGTCGAACCTTCAGCCAAGTCGGCGTACGTGAGTGCAAAAGCGTTTTTCGTCGCAGCCAATTGGACGCAAGATTCCAATTTCGTCGCATTCGACGATGCGACCGTTCGCATATTGGACACGGTGCATTCCTTTGTCAAGTGGTATTCGTATTTTGGTGGTCGCAAATGCCACGAGCAAGACGACGAATGATCGGTGCCAGTCTGTTTAACGCAAACGACGAGGATCAGGACCAAAAATATTGTTTCATAACTCATTTCGCAGCTTTAAAATGTAATTTGTCGTCCACTCGTTGAAAATACACGCGATTGTGGATTACGAACGATCCAAATTATTATTAGTTATGTAAAATTACTTAAAACCACAAGTCCCGTCGTAACGCACACTGGGTATAGCCGGCATAGGTTACACAGGTATACTGCGGTAGCTTACATGGTTTTAAACGAACTCATATCGCGAGATAGACAACACTACGACGGAACAATAACACACGCGAAATCCTACGTTGGTCAAAAGTACAGGCCGTCGACTCTGTCTACACGGAGACACTAAGTAGTCGCGCCCGAGTGCGTCCGATAATGCGTGCTACCCAATAACATAGTAACATAATTAATTGAAATTATTGCTGCACGCACAGGATTACAATACGGTATAATAATTGCTAAAGGAAATAACGTTAACTATAGCATATATTATATTATTTGAACATGTAATCGTATGTGTACTACTGTTCTATGTATAGAAGTTTTTTTTATAATAATATTAATAATATTATAATTATATATGGAGTTAATAACGCCCATACTATAAGAGTAGAGAGTACCTCCTACACGTCAACTATCAATTAAATAATTATCGTTATAGTGCAATCGATCAAATAAAATAAACAGCTAATTCAAATATTTGTTCAGACTTCTC